CAACCCCATTTTCACATTTTGAGAGAAGCTTCAAGAAGACTTCTCGCGACACTGCCAGATAAGTGTCCGGCTCAGGCTGGGGCCACGGTGTGTCAGGGTGCCGGGCCCGGGGGTGTTTGGCGCGTAGAGATTCCAGAACTTCTGGGGTCGGCTTGCTGACTGGCGTCGCTTCAAGTGCCATGACAGCCCTTCGCAGACTGCCACGTCGCGCCAGACCTTCTGCCTTGGAGATAACCCCCAGGTCATCGGGTTGGTGTCTGGGGGGTGGCGGCAGCTCCAGCGAATCCACCGTCTCCAGGTAAAGTGATTCCCACTCCCCTCGCAGGAACTTACGCAGTCTGCTTCTGGTTGCCTTCCAATCGGGGTGCTTAGGCGACTGCTGACGCAATGTCAGGCGAGCGGCAAACAGCAAAACCGTCCAGGCTTGGGTGCAATCAGGGTCGTCGGCGAGTCGCAGCAGTGGTGTCAGTAAGACCATTGCGAAAAGCAGGCGCAGCTTTTCCGAAAGGCGACGTGCTAGAGGTTCGTTGCGACTGTCGCGTAGATTGTCCAGATTCCAGTTACTGACGCTTGCGAAAAGCGTGTCATCCTTGGCGAGGGCTTCGGGCGATTTTTGGGGGAGGGGTTGTGACTGCTGTTGGTTACCCCTTGCTGCAGTTCGTGGGGTAATCGCAGGTGTTGGTGGCAGGATTTGTTGGGCGGGCTGGTTGGCAGTGGTGTCAAGGTGGTTGGGAGCGGTACGAATCTGTGGGGATGGTCGCGACTGGGTGGGAGCGTGAATGGAATTTGTTGCCGCGCTTCGGGCGTGGGTTGGGTTGCTTCTCTGCTGTGCAGGAGTCTGTGATTGGGCCTCCTCTGAGGCGTTCGAACTTGAGTCTGCATCCTCCTCCTCCGCCTCATAAATACTCCCCGACAAAGCATCTGCCTCATTAGCTCTTACCAACTCCGTTAAAGCCCTACGCGCCGCTGCCTGGAACGCGTTCTCCGGACCGCCTTCGCGTATACTCCTTCCACGCCCTCGGCCTCCGGCACGGCCTCCGACACGGCCTCCGCGCGTCCGCGCATTTGCCGCTGCTGGCAGCGGATTCCCTCGACTCGCTCCTCCTGGGTTCTGGCGCGACCTTACGTCCTCGATCGCCTGCTGCCGACGCGTTCGCCGTAATGGCGACTGAAGCGGAGAAGTCGGCGGTGGACCAAGGTCACACCGCTGAGAGTGCGATTGCCCCGCCTCCGGCCCCTGTCGCCGCTGTTGCCATTGCTGCTGCTCCCCTGCTCCCCCTGGCTCCACCTACTGTTGTTGCGACATCCGCGGTTCCGCTCCCCCTGTCGCCGGCTCCCCCGCCAAACCTTCCGCACGCTGGATTCGTGTCCGGCGCGCCGGTTCCCGTTGCGCAGCCGTCACATGTGGCGCAGCCGCCCGCCCAAGCTGTCGCTGGGGGCCCTGCGTTGGGGACAGCGGTGGGCGCCGGCCCCGATTCAGCCCACTTAGTTGCCCCATCGGCTGCGCCGGTGAAACCCGTCGCGCAGCGGCTCACGGAGTCCCAGATACACCTTGCCGCGGGGGGCAGTGCGGCAGCGCATCGGGGGCGAGGTTCTCCTCGGCGTCGCCCCTCCTCGTCATATCGTTCGGCTCACCGCGGAGGTCGTGGTGGCTGGTGGGGAGGTCACGGTCACGGGCGCAGTGGACCAAGCGAGATGCAGCAGCTGCGCGAGGATTTCCCGGGGATGCTCGTTGCGGCGATGCGCAACGCTCTGAATGGCGCACCGAATCTTGGTAGCTCCCCGGCTCCCGCCGCTCCTGCGCCCGCGCCCGCTCCTGTGAATGTGTAGGATCCGGCCGCGCCCCTTGATGCGCCTGCTCCGCATGCATCTGCGTACCCGCGGGCTCCACCTCATGGCAGTGACCGTGCTCCGCCTGCCTACGTTCGTCCTGTGTCCGCCTTGCAGTATCCGCCCCTGCCCTGGATTCCCCCTCTTCCGGACACGGGATTTATGGGAGCGGGAGGCGGAGGGGCGAGGGGAGCCTTCGTTCCTCCGCGTCGTTTTGCTGAAGCTCCGTCCGTGCAGCCGCCGCCCCCTCTTCCCATTCCGAGTGCCGCGTTGAGGACGGGAATGGCTCAAGTTCCCACGGCGACCCTCGCGCAGCTGTGGCGCTTGGTGGAGTGCCAGCAGGCCCTGACACTGATTCTGGTGAATGCGCACTTTGCCATTCTCCAGAGCCCAGGGAGCACTCTCGGTCGTGAGGCGCGAGGAGATTGCTTGGCGGCGGCTGCGCAACATGCCTTCCTCCTCCTACCCTTGCTGGGAGCGCACGCGATGGGAGGCGTTGCGGTTTCAGAGCTGGACGGAGCGGTCCAGGGTCTGACCGCACACCTCCAGGCTGGTGGCGGGGTTGAAGCTGTAGGCGCGACCGCGTTAGTGGTCCAGCAACTGTGGAGGACCATGCGCGGTATCCTTGCGGCGCTGGAGGCCCATCTGATGTAGTTTCCGGCGCCCTCCGCGCGTAGACCCTTTGCATCTCGTGGTCTATAAGTTGGGCACGTGGCCCATTGCTCTCTTGTGTTGTTCGGTTATTTTTGTCTTGGTGCTAAAACTTGCCTCCCCAAAGCACGCGGCCGAAGGCCGCGCAACGCGAGCGCTCGCGGCCGCAGGCCGCCGGCGCGAGCGCCTACGGGAAACTGAAAAAACAAAATGAACTAATGAGGAGAGAGGTTCCTACGGGACCCTTATATAGCTTGGAGGCAAGGGACAGAGGCAAGGGACAGAGGCTAAGTCCTCTCTCTCTCTCGCTCTCTCCGCCTACGGGAAACTGAAAAAACAAAATGAACTGATGAGGAGAGAGGCCCCTACAGGACCCTTCTATAGCTTGGAGGCAAGGGACAGAGGCAAACGACAGAGGCTAAGTCCTCTCTCTCTCTCTCTCTCTCTCTCTCTCTCTCTCTCTCTGTCTCTCTCTCTCTCTCTCTCTCTCTCTCTCTCTCTCTCTCTCTCTCTCTCTCTCTCTCTCGAATGGTCCTCGTATTGATTGATGGGAGATACATGGGAAGATGCAAACACATGCAAACCCAGACATAACACTCGATCTACCTAACTACCTCATTCCCTTACTCCCTCCCGCCCCCTCCGTCCGACCCTAAAGGTCGAACGGGGGCTCTATTAGCTGGTAGAGCTGGCCTTCGCTAAGGGGGGCAAAGGGGCCCCGCATGCCGAGCTCGTCCGCTGCTATCGCCTCGTTGGTCTTGCAGCGGAGGGCGTTGGCTTGTGCTTTTTGGAGGCACACGCTCCAGCGTTGGCGGTATTCCGTCAGCAGCTTGGCGGCCTCGTAGGAGTTGGGGGCTGCGTTGAATCGCAACTTGGCCGCCAGCTCCGCGCACTGCCGCAAGAATGCCAACACCCCGGGCGAGGGGTACCCATATGTCTCTACCGCTAGGGCATGAAAGCCCACCCACGCATTCCGGCGCGCGTATTTCTGCTCCTTCTTGTCCGCAGCTGCCCTAGCCGCCCACCCCGGTGCTCTATTGCAGTTCTCATCTTGGTGAGAAACGGGGTCCGTCACTGTCACGTCGCACATCCAAACCTCTCCCGTCCGGGGATGGCGGATTGTGACGTCCGCCTTCCGGTTTTCAACGAGAGAGTATACATAGGTTTCTTTGTGCACCGTGAATCCCGCCTCTGCCGCAATCAAAGAAATCTCGTCCCTGAGCGCATGGTGAGTCGCAATCCTTCCCCCCCTTTTCTCGCAGCGCATGAGATGGTTTGGGAGGCGGTCATCAGGGAATTTGGTGCGGTAGCGGCAGTCGCAGCGCCTGGGGACAGGTAGGGGGAGGCCCAGGCGGAACGCAGCAGCGGAGGAGAGCTGGGAGGGTCCCATCCTAAGCGAGGGTATGATGGGTAGTGCCAGCAGCCAATCTCCCGCACCAGGGCCGAGCACCGACTGCATTCTCTGGGCATGGCCAGAGAGGGGGTTGGGGCGCATCTGCCTTGCCTCGTTCATGACCCTCAGGAAGCGGCGTGTCTGAACCGCCAGCGCTAGAGACTGCTGCAGCTTGAGGCCCTGTGGGTCTGCTTTCCCGGCCTGGAGAGCTTCTAGAGCCTCGGGGGGGAGGGCTGCTTCCGCTGCTGCAAGGCGTGCAGGCAGGGCATGCGCGGAGCCGGAGGTGGGGTCCATTAGGGGGAGGAGGGCTGCTACATCTGGGTGGAGTGCCTCGGCCAGGGAGTGCAGTAAGTGGGAGGTGCCCACCACCGACGCAAGGTACGCATAGCTCCTGGCATTACAAATCCTGCAGTGAAGCAGAGATTGCACGTACCTGGGCACAAGCATCTCTCCCGGTCTCCCTTGGAGGCCTTGGCCTGGCGGACCCATTCGTGGAGGGGCGTGTCGGATTCCTCGCTAGTTACACACAGAGACATGGACCGCTTGAGAGAGAGAGAGAGAGAGAGAGAGAGAGAGAGAGAGAGAGAGAGAGAGAGAGAAAGAGAGAGAGAGAGAGAGAGAGAGAGAGAGAGAGTGAGCACCCAGCCCTCTTCCTCTTCCCTCGGCCCTCTTCCTCTGAGCCTATTTAAGGGCCCTTGGTGCCTTCTTCTCCTCATTATTTCGTGTGTTCTTCAGTTTTCCGCGGCTCGCGCCGGAGAGAGAGAGAGAGAGAGAGAGAGAGAGAGAGAGAGAGAGAGAGAGAGAGAGAGAGAGAGAGAGAGAGAGAGAGAGAGAGAGAGAGAGAGAGAGAGAAGGCCTTAGCACCCAGCCCTCTTCCTCTTCCCTCGGCCCTCTTCCTCTGAGCCTATTTAAGGGCCCTTGGTGCCTTCTTCTCCTCATTATTTCGTGTGTTCTCAGTTTTCCGCGGCTCGCGGCGGCGGCCGAAGCGCGGCCTTCGGCCGTGCGTTCCAGAGGCAAGACACTCACACAAGGAGTTGATCAAGCAAGGCATTCCAAGAAGGAAGAAATCAAGCAACTGGAGAGCATCACCTTACGATCAAGATGCAATACTACACGAGACGCCGCTCTACTCCGTGTACAGGCCAGCCCCCTCCGCCTCAAGCATCGCGAGAAGACACCTCGCCATCGAGTTGAGAAGCTCCGCCGAGAAGCGAAGAGTGTCAACAGGGGTCCTGTGCTGAGCCGCAGCGTGAAGATCAAGAGAGAGGCGGGGGAAGGTACGGGCTAAGGGTGCTACCCCGGCGGGCGCATCCGACACGGGCGATAAAAGGGGGACAATCTCTCCTGCCCAAGCGACGCATTGTCCTTGGGGCCCTTGAGCAAAATTGCTCGGTGTGTGACGCATGGCCTCACACGCCGCCAGCTGCAGGCTCGCCAGCCCCTCAGCCGCCCCCGCCAAATTCCACATCCGGTACATGCTCAGCGTGGGATCTCTCCCCACGCGGCTGGGGAGAGGCGCAGTCGGAACTCCGCGCGGCAGAAACATCGCCACCTGGCCCGGAGTCTGGCCAACCGTATTCTGAGGAGCAGGGTAACCTGGGGCTTGGCGGCGTCCGCGGAACAGCCCCCTCGACGCTGCAGCTGGCAGATACTCCCGCAAGGTCGGAGCGCGCAGCGGAGCGGCTTCAACCGCAACAGGTGCGGTGGGGAGCTCAGTGGTCACAGACACGTGAACGTGAGCCGCTGCCCCCGACGCTTCCACCTCCCGCACTGCATCCGCCACCATATTCCCCGCGCGGTCAGCAGTGGAGCCCTGGCCACGACTACCCCCGCCGCGCGCATAACCATTCTGCCGCTCACGACGCCCTCCAGACCCAGCCGACTGAGGACGGGGCGGGGACTGCTCACGGCGGCGAGAATCCCAACGGCCCGCATGAGCCCCGCGGCCCCGACGCGGAGGCGACGGCCGCGGCGTCCGCTGCGGAGGGGACCGCTCCCGCGGGGAGCGCTTCTCCGGCGACCTCTCAGGAGAGCGGTAGCGGCGGTCGCGATGCTGAATTTCCCGCTGATATTCGTCCCATCGCCGCCGAGAGTCATGCGGCTTGGGGGCGCGACGCGCAGGGGACGCGGGTCGATATCCACGACGCTGCGGGGACCGGCCCCGCTCCTGACGCGCCGGCAAGGCATTCAACGCGACGACTAGGGGAGCACGGGATTGCTCAGGAGACGCGTAACGATCCGCTCCGCGCAGCGGAAGAGACAACCCGCGCTCAAGACGGCGCACGGGCGCCGACGCAGCAGGACGAGCCTGCACTTGGGAACACGGAGGCGCAGGCTCGAGGTTTGGCTGCGCAACAAGCTGAGCGCTCCCCGCGGTTGCTTCCAAGGCGCGGTCGCAACCCACGGACCCCGCCATCACGACCAAGGCGTGAGCCGAGGACGCCAGAGCCCCGTTTGGCAGGGGAGGAGATCGGCGAAAACCGCACGCCTGTAAGGCACAGCCCAATCGCGAGGAGTGGCACACCTGGCGGACGACGCGTAGGCGGGAGAGGACGCCGAGGAAGAGGAGCTGGGAGGAGAGGAGGCCGACGTACAGGCGCGAGCGGCTATGCGAGGACAGCAGAACGACTACTCTGGGAAGGCGCGGAAGGCGGCGAGGAAGCCGCTAGCAGGAGGGAGAGTGGTGAATCGGAGAATGACGAGAGTGACGAGGGTGACCCAGGTTTTAACCCCGAAACGGAGGGAGGTTTGGATGCTGAAGCTGATGAAGATGATGAGGAGCTCTTGGTTCGTGGGGCTGAGTTCCCGGACCAACAAATTGGAGCCGCGTCTGCAACACGAACCCCAGCCAGGAATCGGAATGTGGGGGGAAATCAGGCCTGGAGGGGAAATCGGACCGCGGCAGAAATCACATTTGACTCTGCCGCAACCAATAGGAACACCCCAACCCCAACCCCAACCCCACCAATGATCCACCCAGGCGACTTGGCGAAACGACTGGACCTTTTCGCGCAAGTCGAAGGCTGGGACCTGGACCCACTGCGCGACAGTCGCCAGCCCCCCCTCGCCCGTCACCCGCCCAAAGACCTTCGCGAATCATTCGCAGTCTGCCTACTCACCCCACTCCTCCACCTGGCAGCCAATCCCAACTCGACCGCGGGGTGGAGGTTACTGACTTTCCTCCCGCGAATCCTCCTACGCACCTCGTCAGCTCGCAAACCAGACTGGAACGCGATGATGAATCGCCTCCTCCGTTTCCGCCAGGGACTCTGGTCTGGCCTGTACGACGAGGCAGTTGAAGCAATTTCCCTCCCAGCCCAGCCACGTCACGTACCTGACACTCAGGGCATCCTTGCCAAAGCGGAGGGACTGGCCAAGCGTGGTAACCTGGCCAAGTCACTACAGTCCCTCCAAGCCACTCCGGTCTCACCTGCCTCCCCCGAAGTGTACGCGGCATTAGCAGCACGACACCCGCAAGCACTCCAGCCCTTACCAGAATGGATACGCACCTTCTCCCCCGAGAAAACCCCTTCGATAGAGCCGCGCGACTTCAGGCGCATCGTAGCCAAACTCCCAAACGGGGTGGGAGCAGGGCCCTCAGGCACAACCTTCGAGCACATACGCGATGCTGCACTCGGAAATCCAGACATCTTCGCCCATCTCCTCGCACTTACCAATACAGCTATAGCCGGGAAACTCAGCGGCGAGGCCACCGAGCTCCTCACAGCCTCACGGCTCTTGGCCTTCACAAAACCGCAGGGGGGGACCCGACCGATAGCCGTGGGCGAATGCCTTCTTTGCATGGTGGCCAAGGCAGCACTGTTCCTGACTGGGGCGGCGGCACGATCACACTTCGCGCCTCTACAGTTCGAGGTAGCAGTGGCTGGAGGGATTGAGGCGGCCATTCACACTGCGCGCACATACCTGGAGGAGAACCCGGGCTCGGTGGCGCTGCAGATTGACCTCGCCAACGCGTTTAACGCGGTGGAAAGGGCGGCGGTATTCGAGGGGCTCAAGAACGAGTCCCTTGAAAGCCTTCTGCCCCTTGTACGCCTCTCCTACGGAACTCCCTCAGCACTCCACCTCGACCATGACTTCGGCGTGGCTCCACTGCTAAGTGCTAGAGGCGTCCGCCAGGGGGACCCTCTTGGCCCCTTGCTCTTAGCGGCAAGCATCCACCCACACCTTACCGCAACGGCACCAGCTCACCCAATGGTCGTCATTCTCGCCTATGCAGACGACATAACGCTGCTAGGCAAAGCAGAAGCGTGCACGGCGGCATTTACACACCTCACTGCCGCACTGATCCACATAGGCCTCGAGCACAACCTTGGGAAGTGTGAGGCTTGGTCTGCAACTGCCATAGACCCCGCCTCTCTCCCTCCGAGCTTCCCCATTGCAGCAGACGGACTGCGGATATTAGGAAGCCCAATCGGGACCTCAGATGGCTGTGCCGCCAGAGTAAGGGAAAGGCTTGTAGCAGCAGCAGAACCCTTGCCGCTCCTGGCCCAAATGGACCCCCAATTGTGCCTGCTGCTACTCACCCGCTGCGTGGGCCGGCGAGCATCCTTCCTGGCCAGAACCACTCCGCTAGAGGCACTACCTGAGGATGAATGGGCGGCATGGGGGGAGCAACTGCTGCATACCTTCCTGGACGCGGCCCATATCATGCTGCCAAGGAGTGACGCGGAACAGAGGAGAATCTGGAGGCAAGCGGCGCTGCCCGTAACATTGGGGGGGCTTGGCATTACAAATCCTGCAGTTGAAGGGAGCTATGCGTACCTTGCGTCGGTGGTGGGCACCTCCCACTTACTGCACTCCCTGGCCGAGGCACTCCACCCAGATGTAGCAGCCCTCCTCCCCCTAATGGACCCCACCTCCGGCTCCGCGCACGCCCTGCCTGCACGCCTTGCAGCAGCGGAAGCAGCCCTCCCCCCCGAGGCTCTAGAAGCTCTCCAGGCCGGGAAAGCAGACCCAGAGGGCCTCAAGCTGCAGCAGTCTCTAGCGCTGGCGGTTCAGACACGCCGCTTCCTGAGGGTCATGAACGAGGCAAGGCGGATGCGCCCCAACCCCCTCTCTGGCCATGCCTAGAGAATGCAGTCGGTGCTCGGCCCTGGTGCGGGAGATTGGCTGCTGGCACTACCCATCATACCCTCGCTTAGGATGGGACCCTCCCAGCTCTCCTCCGCTGCTGCGTTCCGCTTGGGCCTCCCCCTACCTGTCCCCAGGCGCTGCGACTGCCGCTACCGCACCAAATTCCCTTATGACCGCCTCCCAAACCATCTCATGCGCTGCGAGAAAGGGGGGGGAAGGATTGCGACTCACCATGCGCTTAGGGACGAGATTGCTTTGATTGCGGCAGAGGCGGGATTCACGGTGCACAAAGAAACCTATGTATACTCTCTCGTTGAAAACCTGAAGGCGGACGTCGCAATCCGCCATCCCCGGACGGGAGAGGTTTGGATGTGGGACGTGACAGTGACGGACCCCGTTTCTCACCAAGATGAGAACTGCAATAGAGCACCGGGGTGGGCGGCTAGGGCAGCTGCGGACAAGAAGGAGCAGAAATACGCGCGCCGGAATGCGTGGGTGGGCTTTCATGCCCTAGCGGTAGAGACATATGGGTACCCCTCGCCCGGGGTGTTGGCATTCTTGCGGCAGTGCGCGGAGCTGGCGGCCAAGTTGCGATTCAACGCAACCCCCAACTCCTACGAGGCCGCCAAGCTGCTGACGGAATACCGCCAACGCTGGAGCGTGTGCCTCCAAAAAGCACAAGCCAACGCCCTCCGCTGCAAGACCAACGAGGCGATAGCAGCGGACGAGCTCGGTATGCGGGGCCCCTTTGCCCCCCTTAGCGAAGGCCAGCTCTACTAGCTAATAGAGCCCCCGTTCGACCTTTAGGGTCGGACGGAGGGGGCGGGAGGGAGTAAGGGAATGAGGTAGTTCGGTAGACCGAGTGTTATGTCTGGGTTTGCATGTGTTTGCATCTTCCCATGTATCTCCCATCAATCAATACGAGGACCATTCGAGAGAGAGTGAGGAATCCGACACGCCCCTCCACCGATGGGTCCGCCAGGCCAAGGCCTCCAAGGGAGACCGGGAGAGATGCTTGTGCCCAGGTACGTGCAATCTCTGCTTCACCCCTTGGCTGGCGTAATCCACAGGCCGCTAGCAAGGTGTCAAACAACCGCTTTCCCTAGTCCGACCACTCCTCTATTGGCAGGGCTGACAGTGGAGCTGTGCGGGCCACATAGCAGACGCGGCGCGAAATGCAGCGGGTAAGCAGGAGGGAGGCTAGCTGCGGGTCCATTTGAGCTATCAGGTGGAGCGGGCTACCCATTGCGTCGAGGCTGTTGCGAAGGAAGGAGGCCGTGGCGTCAATACCACCAATGAAGCTGCCCAGCACCTTCTCACCACCGTCACTGAAGGGCACGCCGCCGGGTAGTGGCGCCGGCTGCTGCCCCGTGTGAGACCATGCCGCGCATTTGGAGGGATTGTGGCCCAGCCCGATCCCAGTGAGGTTGGTGGTGAAGTCATTGAACGCGGCCGTACATTCCGCCGCCTCCCCCAGGAAGGTCACATCGTCCGCGTAAGCAAGGCAGACTACGGACGGGTACGCCAGGGCTGTTTGTTTGAGCGCTGGATGCATGGCTGCAGCAAAAAGGAGAGGTCCGAGGGGGTCCCCCTGCCTCACCCCGGTTTCACTCGAGAGAGGTGCGTGTGAGAAGCTGGCGTCGAGGCACAGCGCAGATGGATAGCCGTAGGTAAACTTCACCAGGGGCATTAGGGGGGCTAGCGGGGAGCTAATGAGGGATGCTACGATTGCCGCCCGGTCCACGCTATTGAACGCGTTTGCTATGTCTGCTTGCAGGACCAGAGCGTTCGGATTAACTGTGAGGTAAGTGCGGGAGATGTGAATGACTGCCTCCGCTCCGCTCGGGACTGCTACTCCAAACTGGTAGGGAAGAAAGAATTTCCGCGCGTCATTGGCTGTCAGGGCAAGGGCCGTCTTAGCGGCGAGGCGTAAGAGGCACTCGCCAACAGCGATTGGCCGCGTCCCCCCGTCTGGTTCGGTAAGTGCCAGTAAGCGGGAAGCAGTGAGGAGTTCTCCTACGGCGGGCGGTAATTTCCCCGTTAGGATGGTGTTCACGAGTGCGTGCAGGTGCTTTCCCACCGAGGCGTTGATCAGCACTGAGTCCCGTAAGTGTTCGAACGTTGTCCCAGAGGGGCCTGCCCCAACAGCCATCTCACAGAGTCCCAACACCTTGGAGAAAATTTCGAAGGGTGCGGTCAGTGGTGGGTCTGGTGCTGGGTATGTCCAGTTCGGTTGAGAGGAGGGAGCTCGCGGGTGCTTGGCGCGCAATGCCTCCAGCACGGCTGGAGACGGAGTGTAGACCGGAGTGGCTTCGAGAGCCA